TATATATATATATATATATATATATATATATATATAATATTAATATAATGAAAAGTCGCAAAGAGTAAAGAAAAGAAAAAAAAAAGGAATATAATAGAAATGGTCATAGTAAGAATAGTAAGAAAATATACTAATAATGGCCATAAATATTACTTAACAATAATGACGATGTTGCTGAAGACAATGATTGCGATGATAATTATAATTACAATATATCATTACAAAATGTTATCAAGCTGATGATGTGGCGAAAGACTGAGATTACAACAGTGACTGTAATGATAAAACTGGTCATGATAGAGACGATCACAATAATGATGATAAGTTATAATGGAATGTTGTTAATGTTGTTGATACTTGAGGAATCATTGTTGTTGATGTTTGTTTCCCTGTGAAGTACCCTTTGCAAGCTGTTCGTTGTAACTCCATTGCTCTGCACGACCTTCCGAATGGGCGCAAACGTACCAAATAGTTTCTACCAAAGAAATTATAATGTATTACAATGTATAATTGTACAATCGTACACGTGTGTACAAGAATGTAACGTTGACAGTCGACATATATGTATGCAGTAGAAAGATCAAAATATGTCTTACATATAAAGACCATAATGTATAGTCTTATTCTTCGGTATGTAGTAATCTTTCTCTTTTCGAAGTACCACCGATCAGTTGAAATATTTCTAGATAATCAGAAAGACTCGCTAAGCCAAAGCAACGTTACGCTACCTCAATACTGAGACAAGGTGGTACACTCTTGTTTCTTTCTATAAATATTTTAATAAATATCGTCCCATGATTTTTAATCATCGGTTAATTCTTATGGGAATATTAAGAATTTTTCGTTAACATCGCGTTGGAAGATAAGTCGTCGTAGTGAAAACGTTTTCACATGCAAATTATATTATTAAGCTATTAAAAAAAACCAATTATTGGAAAACAACGATTAATAAATGAGAACTGTATGCGCATTTAGTTACTTTATTGATACTGAACAATTTTCCCAAATACATATTATACTAGTATTACAACGTATACTTTTTTTAAAATCCTAATGTAATACTACACGATTGTAGAAAACTAATTTGTATAAGTAATAAATAGGTATACAAAGCTGAGTCACTTTGCGAAACAGAATGGCCGTCTCTCCCTTTCGGAAGTGTCTGCAGTATGTGTAAATGACTGAATTTATTTTTAATGTATGCTAGATAATAGTGTTTATGGACATTCCAAGAGAAAGAAATAAAAGCAAACCTTCCAAAAACAGCCACATTCATAATTGCATACATGTGTAAATCATGACTCAATATGTAGTAGCTTTGCCGCCTTCTATGTATTTAACTATAAATATATACATAGGTATGAAGAAATTTCGCCTGAATCCAGTCTCCGACTGCTCGGTATCGAATAGAGCTTGAATAAGCACAACTAATAATAACTACTATATGCGTAATGTTTTTACCAAAAGATAATGAACAATTGCTTAAACTTAGATTTTATCTTTCTTTCGAGTTTCTTTAATTTTGATACAAATTTCTGGCGAAGAAAAAGTATGTATATTGCATACTTTTTTAAAATGTACATATATACATGCTGATGAAAAATAATAAAATATTAAATATTGTCTTCAGCAATGCTGGACGAACTGTTTTATTTGAACATAATAGCTTTGTATGTTGTATAGCAAATTAATAATACCTAAAGAAATACATACATCTATAATTTTTAAGTATAATTTTTTTATTATCAGTTTACACATATCATAAGATTGTAAAAATATATAGAAGAAATGAAATTACATTAAACGAAATATTGTTCTTTTGTATAATCATTTTCGATTCCTAGGAAAAATATACATGCTAATACATGGTAAAAACATACACGTTATATATAATATTGTGATGTAACAGTCTGTAGTATGTGTTATTTCACAATGCATCTTTTTTTTTGTACACTGTTTTTATGTGCTCAATTCGGCCGAACTGCCGGAAGAACAAGTTATTCTGGATTTTTGTATGACATATGTTGTGTGTGTTAATGCTAATTATTGTACATATGATGCAAGTGCGTACGTGTGTGAGTGTATGTGTATATATCTTTCCCTGTGTATATATAAATTATTTATTAACATCCCTGTAATTTCTAACATTTCATTGAAAAGCCCAATGCAGCTAAATATAATCCTAATATAACAAATGTTAAGTTGCTATTGAATATCTACTGAGTGAATATTATAACAAATTTTGTTGGGACATATTTATATGATGAACTTATGATTTTATGATGATTTATATGATTTTTAGATTAAATTACTGCAGTAACCTGGAAAGGATAGAAATTGACTTTGAAATCTAATAATAATAAATACACAATAAATATTTCAAGTAAATTTGTTCAGAAGTAAAGGAAATAAATTAAGAACGAATTACATATAAATCATTGGGCTCATTTTAAATATTTGGTTTAACTGGCATTTTTGCCAGAATCATTAAGTACAAGATAAATCGCAGTTTGAGATTTGATTACAAACTATAAATCAAATTTATTTTGTATTCAATGATTCTGTACAAGTGCCTAAACCATCAGTATGTAATTATACTGATTTTTATTTATACTATTTTACTGACTATTTTATCTGAATTCTCAGGTAACTGTGCCAGCATAAAAAATTGAAATTGTGCTAGTAAGCGGGTTATCGACAGATGTATTTCTAAATGTGAAGTAGTATAAAACTATACATACATATATGTACTTTTATATATTATATATATAATATGTATATATTTTAAATATATATACTATGTATAATATATATATAATATATATACTATATAGTATGTATAGTATGGTATACAGTGCACAAAGAAATAAACTTTTGAATTATTATTGGAAAAACAAAATTGTTGAAAAGTTTAGTTAAATTTTTCAACTTTTTTGTAAATCAGTTTTTTATGCAACCTGTACTTATTCATTTATCATGAAATTTGTATAACTACGCAGAATAGTTTTATACTTGAAAAGTATAAAAAAAAGGTATTGTTTCTAATATTTGCAATCCATTCACAATTATTTATTCCTTTAAGATATTTGTAATTTCTTTTGGAAAATAAATAGAACACAAATATAGACATTATGTTATTTCATTTTTTGTGAATAATGAAATTTAAAGTGTTTGTTACAAATTTAAATGTGATTTCAGATATAAATACACACACCACACACGCATATATATATATATATATATATATATAATGCGCATTTATATATGTGGGTGTATATATATAAACAAATATGAAAATGTGCGCATATGAAAGAATGAAGCATATATTTGAATAATATTATGTAATACACATTTGAATGAGTGCTGTGCAATTTATGCATAATTTATATATTTTTTTTTTCTGTTTTTAATGCCTTGTACTACTTCACGTTTCCTATATTGAATGTAATGTGTTTCGTGTTGACATAAAACACTTTTAGCTGTGATGTTAACAATAGGGAATTCATGCAGAGATACAAAACAAAAGGGGAATTAGTATATTAGAAATGAATTTCACATTATATTTATTATAATGACAATTCAGTATTATCAATATTTGCAGACTAAGAATTCTTCAATAGTTAACATCATTGCTAATAAAATATGGAAAAAAAACTGCACACATTTTCAAAAGAACTGTAACGAGGCACAAATTTTGAAAAGGGACAGTAAATAACTTCGTGCTCTAATCTAAGATTTCATAATGCAAGTATATGCGCATGTGGAAAATACTGAAGAAAATCATGAAAAAAGGAATGATAACAAAGCATAGTTATCGAATGAAAAATTATAACGATAATATCATCGCTACCAATACTGCTGTTAGTGCTATTACTATTACTATTACTACACTATCATTACCGCTACCACTATAACTATTACTACACTACAGCTACTATCGTTATTAATATAAATTGTCCTTGTAATTTTTATATGCTAAGTGTGTTTAATTTTTATATGCTAAGTGTATTTAATAGGATACATGAAAAAGTATGGGAAATGAGTCAGAATAAATGTAACATAACAGCTCTGCTTGTATAAGAGGGCACAAACTATGTTAAACTGAACTATAAATTATAAATATTATATAAGACGATAAATAATAATTATTATCATTATTATAATTATTATTAATTGAATTAGAAAATTGTAATCTACCCATCAACAACCACTTTTGAATAAGGGAGACTTAAGTCTGTAATTCGTGTATAACAAAAATCAAGCTGTATAATGTTGTTGTTATTGCTGTTGTGTTTTTATTATCCTTAATCTCATTATTTAGGAGAAAAATGCTTTTTTGGAAAAAGGGAATAAAATTAAATTTGATATTTACAGAAAAAAATAAAGTTATTTAACATTCTAAGAGATTAGAAAGAACTTATTTATTACATATTCTATCGAAGTTACAATACAATATAAAATATTTCTTATACTAATCTGAAAATATTCAAAGCGTTTTTCGCGTATCGTAGTATGTATAATATAACCCCAAAATGTAAAGTATGTTGTTATTTTTAAGAGTATTGTATTTTGTATCACTTCTAATTGGTTTTGCACAAAATATCGTTGTAAATAAATTTTGTAGTATAGATGAGTATGAAGAAACTACCAAGAAATGCAACGTTCAATTATGTTATTTGCAAAATCGGTTTGATCTTCTGTATTATAACGTGCATGTTATATTAAAATTAATATTTTTTTACATTTTAAATAATGATTTTTTAGTTATGTACTCTATGATGTTAATCCTGCAGAAGGATTTAATTTAAGAAGAGATGTTTATATTCGCACTGCAGTTTTTATAAAAAATATAATCAAACAAGAAAAAAGTATTAAATGGCATTTAGTTTTGCCACCATGGGGTAATTTTATAGTGCACAAATAGTTCTTTCATTTTACTTTTTATTTTTGTCTTTTCTTATTCTATTTTACAGATAATTTATATCATTGGCGTAGTAAACACATAGGATTCCAAACTCAATTATCTTGGGGCTTGTTCTTTGACATTCCAAGTTTGCAAAAATATATACCAGTTATTGAAATGTATCAGTTTCTACAAGGTATAAAATTTCATTTATTGTCAGTGATAGACTCAATAGAAATTTGATTTTTCAGAGTATCCTTCAGAAAATAATGAAACACGTCTTGATGTTGTATATGTCTTACAAAATGATGAGGAGATGTTCAAGACGGGTAAATTTAAAGACAAAAATGAAATAATAAAATGTAACAATAAAGCATTACAATTTCATAAAGTAGAATCTAAAAAATACATTGGACATTTTTGGGGATATCATAATATAACTTCTAAAGCTATTAAGTGTGTTAAATTTCATGGTACAATGTCTGGTCTTAAACAAAATCTTAAATCTAATGTTTATAGGTAAGAGAATGTGTAATTTGTTTAATAATGTCTAAATTTTACGTGCAATATTTTGTTTTACTAATTATTAATGCAATTATTATGGTAGATCCATAATGTTTGATCACATGGAGATTGCATTACATGACTTCTACGGCACAATAGAATATTGGAAAGTTAGACGTAGTATGCGATATAATTCTGAATTATATAATATTGCTAGTGAATATAGAAAAAGTTTCCTTAATTCAACAAATGAACATGATAAGACTGAACGACCAGATGATTGGACTAAAGAAAAAGTATTTAATTTTGCTTGAGTTGATAGAAAGATTTAAATTATGAAAGATAATTTTTTAATTGCAGGGCAGAAGAAATGCAATTGGAGGACCTTATTTATCAGTCCATTTAAGAAGACGTGATTTTTTAATTGGTCGTTCTTCAACAGTGCCAACAATAGCATCTGCTGCTTTTCAATTGAAAAATAAGTTAGATAAGCTTGGATTAAAATTTCTGTTTGTTGCTACAGATGCAACACAAGAAGGTAAATTATCCTTAAATATCCTTAAAATATTAATAAATAATATCTATTAATCATAGCAATTTGTTTAGAATTTAGTGAACTTAAACAATATTTGTCTGATTATACGGTTCTTAAATTTATTCCATCAGACTATATATTAAATAAATTTAAAGATGGCGGGATTGCAATTATTGACCAGATAATTAGTTCTTATGCCAGGTAAAATGTTGTGTATCTATTTCTAATTTATTTCATTTATTTCATTTCTTATGTTATGAAAGAAATAATATATAATTTGTAGGTATTTTATAGGAACACAAGAATCAACATTTACATTTAGAATACAAGAAGACAGAGAAATCATTGGTTTTCGCACTAAAACAACATTTAATTATTTGTGTAAAAATACTGAGAAATGTGACACTAATGGACAATGGAAAATTGTTTGGTAACATATAAAAATATGTATGTAATTATATGTACGTATATATTAGATAATAAAGTCAATGACTAATTTTGAACATACATTTTATCATGATGTGTATATAAGTACAATCTGTTTTTATATGTTTATGTATCTTTACTGATATTAATTATTTCCCTATATAATTATTTTCCTTAACTTATTGCTGGTTTGCCAATTAGTTCTTGTTCCCGATGAAGTTCTTGTTCTCGTTGTTGTTCTCTATTCAAGGCCTCTTTCTGTACTATTTGCTGCAATCTTGATGCTCGTTTCTATACAAAGATAATTTATATATTATATAAACAATAGTGAATTGAAAATACATGTAGCATAGAAAAGTTATAACTCACTTTTAATCTGAATGTCCTTTCATGAATGGAAACCATTTCTTTTTTCATTAATATTAATTTACCTTGACTAATTTTAATCATTTGAAACTGTAATACATATTCCCTTTATGTATTTTATGTTTGAGACCATTCTTCTATATTAGAAATTTCTGTAAAATCAAATTTATATTTTAATATCAACACTTACCATCTCATTTAATTTAACATCATTAAAAACATCTTGGACTTTTTTATTCTCAATTTGCATCTGACTGAGCAAAATTTCTTGTTTGCTTCTAAACAAAAACAATATAAAATATAAAATCAGAAAATTCTTATGTGCTGCCGTAACTTTCCACTCACTTTACTTCATTTAGCTTTTTTCCACTTTGTTCCCATTGTTCTTGATATTGTTTTAAGAATCCTTCGCTTAATTTTTTTATAGCTATTTTGAAGTCAATTTCATCTTCTTCGCTGTAAAATTTTTAAAAAAATTTAAATATCTGTCTGGATATCATTAGCCATAGTTATGAACAGTTATCAAAAAATTAATTACATATAACACATGATTGCAATTATTTACAAAAGTGATTGTAAAATAAACAAATATTAGAAACATAAAGAATTACCTATTATATTTCTCAATTTGTGATTGAAGTTCTCTTGCTTCTGTTTCTTTCATATCTGTCATCATTTTCTATTCTTAATATTGTTACTGATAATTATTTAATAAATTACAGTATTTGGATGTAAATGTAATGTAAATAATAACATTAACTATGAGTTTGATATTTGTCAGATCAACAACAATTCGAAATAAACATGAATCGTGGCAATAATAACTGCACGTAGCTTCAGCATTGACGCTTATCTTTCTAATATATGTTTGCTTCATGCTCTTGATGCAACTTGAACATAACCAAGAAAAAAGTTGTAGGGAAAAAATATTTACTGTTTATGAAGTGGAATGATATATTTTTGAAACATAATGAGAAGTTGGATAAACATTTTTAGTTGAGATGGAGCACCTTCCAAATAGAGAATATATTATGGTAGCTCCTGGAATAAACACTGTAGCGGTGCTTCTAAATATAGGATTTATTTTTAGGTTGGAGCTAGCCATAGTTTAAATCAAGAATTTGATCTAAAACTGCATTTCTAGACGGTTTTGTAATAGGTGTGAAAGATGTTTATTTTTAAATGACATCTTTAGTCTTGTTTTTATTTTTCATTAATGTTCTATTTGTATTTAATTTTGTGCAATATTACTCAACTATCAAATGCTTAAATATTTTACATTGGACATGTAAATACTATTTTTTTTAAATGTTTTGTTTGTGTAAAATAATTTAGACAATTCTAAACATGTAGAAAATACAAGTAAAATGCATATTTGTTGCAGTGATAAAAATGGCAAATGACTTAATAATAAGAGGTAAAGATAGACTACAAGAAATTAGTATTAAATTAGAGCAAAGCCATTTGGTTTATTTACAAACAGATGACAGCCCTTTAAAATTGCAACAGCGTCGTAAACTTGAAGGTAAATATATGTGCAATAATATGCAATATTTAATTTTTAATAACTTTCTCTATTCTAGGTTTTATTAAAGAATATCTCTGTCTTGTTCCAAATGAAAACAAATATGTATTTCAAGAAACTGCAGATATATTGCATAGGTCAGCAGCCACATTGCAAGATTTTAGTGGATATAGAGCCGCAACTGCCTGGAGTGCTATTTCATTGTATGCTGCCAATCTTTTGGCTCAGCCTTGGAGAAGAGAATATAGAACGTTAAAGGTTAAGATTTTTGTAATTCTTAACATAAATTTTTTAAACTGCAAAATATTCAATTAATTTTTTTTATATTAGACTTATAGTGGATATTATAAGCATGAGGTAGAAGCAAATTTAATAGGAGCAGAATTAATGTTTGAACAAATGGGATACAAACATACAGGGTTAGGAGTGCTCACTTTAGAGGGTCCTATTGACCCTGATAAAGTATCTAGTGTAAGCAGAGATGCAATAGTTGCTTTTGTTGAATGTCAGGTAATAATATTTATAATGACACTTCAAAGCTTAATAATGGCACAGTACATGGACAGTACCAGTGTCAATGTATTCTTTTTCTTTTATTATTTTTATCTTTATCACACATTTCTTTGAGTATCACATATTATGCTGATGCGTTGTTGTCGTTGCTGATGTAGTACTGTTATTGTATTAATATCATTATGTTAAATGTGCTGTAATTCAACGCAGAAATAACTGACCGTCGCTAAACTGATACTGTGCTATTAAGTAGGCGACAATCTTTATAATACTTTCCTGCAAAGATATGTAAATAAAAAAGTTCCAATTTTCGTACGTAGATCTTGAAGCAAATATGGGAGAATGTTTCGCAGAATTACAGTATCTCATGGTTAGAAGTATTAGAGTTTCGAGAAAATCATGTTGGTACACCAGAGCAAGCAATCAGAGCATTAAACTACCGTTTTCTTGAGAAAATGCATCAAACTCGAACAAAAGCGGAGAATTACAGAGATTATCATTATCCGCAAACTGCATGTATAGATGCAGTATCACCGTCGATTCCTTATCACATTATGCCTCCTAGTTATAATATGTCAATGCCTGTTTGTCAATCAGAATACAGATATATCGAAGATACAAATTCGATACCTGGAACTTACAAATACTTTCAACCAGTGGATCACGGCTTTGGAAATCGATGTAGTGCCTATGGATATTTACCACATGGTAATAAATATTTGAGCGGAGTCAATCCTTACTATACCACAATGCCAGGATACACAAGAGTACCAACGGGTAGATTAATTGAACTTGATATGCCGGTTTCGGTTGCGAATTATGACAAACTGCACAATCGGAAGATATCTCATCGAATATCAGACTTGGACGAAGTAGATTTTTATAAAAGACATTCTAGTGATGGAAATCATTATGATTATGGAAGAATCGATAAAAAATCGGGGCGATCAATCGATGAAAGAAATAATTACGATTCTTGGGATTTTGTGTATAAAAATTTAGAAACTTTAGGCTATTCTAAAGATCTTGGTAATCGAGAAGATATTTTACACAAACGAGAGTGTGATTCCCGATTGAGTAAACAAAAATCTTTTAAACAAAATGATAACGATGAAAAACATAGTGTACATGGCTTTGAAAAAAGAAGAAGCGCAAGGACTGATGCAAATGAGATGGATTCGTCTATGACAAATGGTCGACATCATTATCACGATACGTTACCTTTCAAAAAGAAGTCTTCTTCTTTTGACTTAATGGATTCGAATAGATATCATGATGCATCTTCAGAAAGTCATTTATCTTCTCATAATAAAGAAAAAAGATGTAGTCAAACGCTTCCAATTCAACGTTCTCATCAATCGGTGGATCAAATTGTAAAAATTGTGGATACATTAAAAAATTTAGAACTTTCTCATTCAGAAAAAGAAAATGAAATGGAAGAAGATGGAGATAAGACTTGGAATTGTGCTACTTGCACCTATCTTAATTTTTCATCAAAAGAAATTTGTGAAATGTGTGGAAAATCTAGGCACAAAGGAAACGAAGATAAACCATTAGCAAGTGGTGGAAAAGAATGCCCACAATGTACATTAGTAAATGAGAAAAATGTCTCAGTCTGTGATGCTTGTGGTATCAGTTTAAAAGATTCACCTACCTATATTTAGATATTTAATTGTTTGAAAGAAAAATTGCATTGTTTTGTATATGTTTGAAATTAAAATTGGAAATAGTAAATACATTTTCTGGATGTTAGATATCGTCCTAATAAGAATTTTTGAAATATTTGAAAAAAAATGTTAGTACTTATAATACTGAAACTAGCTGATATAAGTGGTAACAATTTTTCTTGATTGCTTTAGAAAACAAAAAAGAGTACTATTACATTAATGGAACTTAGAATTTCTTAAATCATATAATGAGAGAGAGGATGTATAAAATTATTTATTTAAAATTGTTTGAGTAGATTTGTGATATGAGTATATTAATATTATGGTAATACTGCAATGGTCTACCATTTGTTCGGAGAAAAGTAAAAGTGTACACATGTAAGTACCTCTTTCTGTCGATTCAATTATATTCAATTATATTTAAGCAAAGATTTATTGTTTTCAATATTTTTTGTCATTTACCATATAAAATTTCTTTGTGATTTTCTACGAAATTTTATATATACAATTAAATTACTTTTATTAAAAATTTAGTTATTGATTTGACTAGATATTTAATATTAAAAATTAAACTAGTAAAGAATTATTATCAATAACATTTGATAGCCTAAATAGTTTAATACAAAGAGTTATACAAATTATTTATTCTATAGCATGTATATGTATTATATTCATAATAGAAACTCATATTTTAACAAAAAAAGTTATATGTTGAATATATTGGAATGTTATTTAAAAAAGAAATATTAATATGTATTGTACAATA